CTGGTTATTTTTTCAATATAAAATTTTTCCCCTTCTTTCTTCTTTCGTACGAAGACACTGGTTATTTCGACTACAAATTGAGCTTACAACGAGCTTAAATAGCAGCATCCAATTAGCACAAAAATCAGCCATTCATGTTAGAATCAAGAAACTAATTATTCCGACCACAAATTAAGCTTCTTATTACGAGCCAAGTATAGCTTATACATTCGTACGAAGAAACCGAAAATTTGTCCCATGTAATTTTTCCCTTTCATTTGCCACAAATAAACTAATTATTTCTAGACAAATTGAACTTCTTACTAGCCGAGAAGCTATCCAAAAAAAAATAAAAAAATCGGGTATCTATTTTCTGTTAGACCAACAACTCAAAACTCAATTCTCCATCAAGCCCAAGCCAAAAATGGGGATCCATTGGCAATAAAAGGAGTAGCACACAAAACTTATATATTGGACTTGAAACCTTGAATTTTCAGTGTTACATTTACGACATTGTTTAACTGAAAAAAAAAATACAGGGCTTTTGAGGTGTGGGAAGAGCTGCCGGCTGAGGTGGATGAACTATCTGCGGCCGGGAATAAAGAGAGGCAACATCAGCCAAGACGAGGAGGATCTGATCGTGCGCCTGCACGCCCTCCTCGGCAATCGGTGGTCCCTAATTGCGGGCCGCCTCCCAGGTCGAACCGACAATGAGATCAAGAACTACTGGAACACCCACCTTCTCAAGAAACTCCAATCCGCGGGGCTCAGGCCCAAACCCGCACCCGACCAGCCCAGTAGGCCCACCAAACACCAGAGCCCAACCTCCCCAGAAGACAACAACAAGAAGAAGAAGAAGAAGAAGGAGGAGAAGGAGAATGGTGAGGCAGAGGAGGAGAAGACAAAGGTGTACTTGCCGAAGCCGATGAGGGTCTCGTCGAGGACGAGCAGCTTTGACAGCCTGGATAGCCGGGGGCCTGCTGAGGTGGCATCGTATGTTCCGTGGGGCCCACTGCTCGAGCTGGAGGAGGGATGTGGCGGCTGCTTTGTGTCGGTCTCCGGCGAGTTGGGGTTGGAGCAAGTGTACTATGATGAGTACTTGCAGCTGTTGTCTATTTGATGGTGATAATAATGAAGAAACAATAATATATATTGTCTTTGTTGTTGTGTTCTTCTTAAAGGTGGTGGTGGTGGTGTTGGTGTGGAATTAATTAACTTTGTTGAATTGCAAACATTTTTATTTTTTTCCTCTGATTTTGGTGGAAGGAGATTTGTTTGTTGGTTGTGTTAAACTTAATTAAAACTGTTTGAAAGACTTAGAAATTCGATCTTACACGTGTGGGCGGGGTAGTTTTAGCAGTTCGGATCACACGCATTTACAAGAATTTTTACGGATTATGTGTTGATTTTTGATGGTTAATAAAATCCTTGTAGAATGGTGTTCAAAGGATATGATAATATTCAGTTCGAAAATATTTTGTTCGAAAAATATTTTGAGGTCAAGCCAACTTATCTCAGACTTAAAGAGTGAGTGTTTAGTAGATAATTTAATTATCAACTGTAATTTTGATATGAAAACTGAAGAGATCAGCTGAAAACATGATTAGAGATTTTAGACATTAATTAATTCATTTTTTTCTTCAATTTGAAGACTTAATCTATGAAGGCCATGTTGCAATATTTGAGATTCACTTGCTTTATTTTATATCCTCATTTACTTTTGATTAGCGTGTTGAATCCATTTCTTTATGTTGAAAAATTATGACCGAAGCTAATTACATTGACCTAATAACAGCTACAGATGATTATTAACAAAACTAGCATACGTGTGCGTTGCTGCACCCGGAGTGTACGTTGGGAAATATAATAAAAGTTGGTATAGCGTTAACCAAATTTATACCGAATATTTAAAAAAAAAAAAAATGATATTTTTTTATTTAAATTTCAAATACTTTTTACAAACTTACATTATTATTTATATTTAAAATGATATTTTTACCGATTTTATATTATAATAATTTTACTAATTCACATGTAATGAATATATAGACTTTGCTAAATTAATATATAACTGTTAAATATTTTATTTTAAAATAAAAAATAATTAAATTATTTATTTGATATATTATATAAAAATAAATAATAATAAAAATAAAAATTATTAACTTTTAAATATATTTATGATTTAAGTTAGTAAATTATTTTATAATTTTCAAAGCATAGGTTACGGACAGTCAATCTCATACAATTTATAAGACAAATTTGTTAAATATTACTACTAGGGCGGTTCCAATTAATATTTCAGTCATCTTATACCATGAATTTATAAGAAAAAATTTTTAGTTACTATTAAGACATTCTAAAGTAGAACTGCAAGTTTTATATTCGTCCAATATCCGTCCAGACATAGAACGGCAAGTTTTATATTCGTCCAATATACATTCGTTCAATATCCGTCCAGACATAGAAATGCAAGTTTTATATTCGTCCAATATACATCTCGAAAGAAATCTATCTAATCTCCAATATGAAACTCGTTATGAGACTATTAATTTAATATTTACAAATAAAGATGTAATAACAAATAAAAAATTGTTAACTTAAGTTAGATAACGTATTTTAAAAATATATTTATACTATAATTTGATCAAGTATTTTAAAAGTAATGGGCATGAATATTTATCATTCTACTTATATTGCTCTAAACCAAAGAAACATATAGGATTCAAAACATCATACACTAAACAAAACAAACATATAGGATTCAAAATACCAGAATTATTTATAGAATAAAATTGTAGAATTTAACTAAATATAACATGATAAGTTTTAATATACTATTATAATTTATTTTGAGTTACAATATTATATTTAATTTATTTGTGTTAGTTTCAACAACATCAACTCTGTTCTCTTTTTATGATAATGCCATTCCTTTTCAAATAAATCAATTATTATATTTTATTCTATATTCTAAAACCTAACATTTTATTTTATATCATTGAAAAATTACACACATAATATTATTTTGACACCCATAAGGGTGACTCTGAGTCAGTCACACCGAATAGTTTTGGACCCCGACTTGACTCGTGAACTTCGCCCATTGCCCCGACCCATTTTTAAATATATATTTTTCATAAAAAATATTGAATATATTATGATTTTATATTAATAAAATAGTAATGATACTATAATTTCTAAATACATATATATATATATATATATATATATAAACAAAATATTTATAGATATATAACTATATATACCTGTGGGGTGATCGAGACAAATTGGGTCGGAACAAGATTTAGTATTCGGATCTAACCCATTTATTAAACAGAGCAAACTCGATCTGGCCTAATTTTAATAAAATATGCAGATAACCCTCCCCAAAAGGCCAAATTGCAGCCTTAACACCAGATCTACCAATAAATAATAGGTTCTCAAGATTCCCTTAAATTATATTCATACACCTTTGAAAAAATGAGGAAACAAAGTTCTTGGTCAAACAATTTTTTTTTTAGAGAAATGTTGTAACGTTGCCAATACACAATCATGCAATTATTGAGTTAGATAAGAACTATATTAGTATTTAACTACTTTACTTAGCGGTTTTAATACCGCCACGCAATATGCGTTTCGTTTGATCCAATTTCTCTTCTTGGACAAAGAAGAGTTCCTTTTTAAAAGGTTAAGGTGAGATGTTTCTAATTGAATTTTTTTTTTTACAATATACATACAAAATGAATACTTTTTAATAAGAATGGATCGATGTCAATAAAAGACATAACAATGCATAATAGTTATAGTACTATGTACATGTGGATATGCACATTATGCCACCACCTAGATATTTATAAATAAAATAAAATTACTAAATTGCCACCACATTTTTTACTAAAATTTTGACCAGTTGATTAGATCTAATGCATTATTTAATCATATAAGGAGATTATATTTTATTCTTATTTCTTTAACTATCTTTCATTCTTATTTAAGCGTATATCTATATATGTGTATTTAAATTAAATTTTCATAATTATTAAAATATAAATAGAACTAAAATAGTTTATGACATAAATATTTATTTTTATTAAAATAATATTTTGAATCAACTGTAGGTAGATAAGACTGCCTTATTAGAAACAAATTATGTTTTAAAATTGACACGAGATGACATATTAATGAGTGATTTCACCCTACCTCGTGGGTATTCTCTACGGGTAGGATTTTAGCCGTTGAATTTATACACATTTATACATGTGTATAACTGTGTAATCTGACGGCTAAAGCTCGATAGACTAACCACCGTTGAGTCCTACCTACTTGTCATCCATGGAATTACCAAAATGCATCCTACTTTTCTTCAAATCAACATCTCTTTCCATCAATCTATTTTACAATTTATTTCAACATGACAATAAAATGTACTATGTAGGCCCGAATTTTAAAACCTAATGGCCCCATGATTTTTACTATTGCTAATTATACACATGCATAGATGTGTCCGTGTTTGTGGTATTAATGAATCTTCCCCATCTACCGTGGAAATGGAATCATTCATCCTAAGAGTAGAGAATATTCTTTTTATATGTAGAAAATAATATAGTTTGATTGGAAAAAGACAAATTAGTAGAAAAAAAAATCAGATAAAATATGTGATATAAAAAATAATTTTATAATATAACTGTAATGAAAAAATAATAGAGCTATAAATATATGAATGGATGAATAATACATTTCATTATAAAATGTATAGTGATAATTGGTTTTGAATTTTAAAAATGCTTTGAAAAAATAGAGAAGGAAAAAGAAAAAGGGAAAAGTGAAATAGATGATGAAGAATATATTTTTTGCTGTCGGGTTATTTTTTATATTTTTTATATATTATCAAATTCATTTCGTTTACCCTGATTTTTTAAATACGTGTAAATTTATCTCTGAAGTACAAATTTTGACCTGGTGATTAGTGAAATAACCTCCTTAAAGCACAAAAATATTTATCAATCTTCTTCAACATCGATGTAATTTTGGCCTAAACGGTTTTGTGTCACAATATTAGTTACTTGTTCAAGCTACAACTTAAATATGATATTATGTTTATATTTACCATTTTAATGTTCGCACTCACTAGCCCAAGTAATGCTTACTAAAAAACTAGTAAGATTGTTGGTAGGTAAGCAGTCATATTTTTTAATAAATATATAAACCTTCTAAATTCAAATGTCATAATATAAAAAATAAAATTAATAAAAGAATGACATTTTGCAATAAAATTATACATTTTTGCTAAAAAGTTGATAGGACTCTCCTTTAAGACAGTCCAAACAAAATTTTAAGCGACAACTAAAGAAGATATATACTTAATTACTTTTTCAGTATATATACATATTTTTAAATTCAAATGTCATAATATAAAAAATTAAATTAAAAAAAGCATGACTTTCGTAGCGAAAATTATACATTTTTGCAAAAGAGTATGATGGAGCGCTCCCTTAACAGTGAGAAGGTCCCACACACACACTTATGCATAAACTAAAGAAGATACTATATTTGATTATGTCTCTAACCAATTTTAAAACAAGTATTATAAAATAGAGAAAACAAAAATAAAAACGTTCATTTAAATCAATGGAAGAAAATAATGCAGTGTTTAAATCTCAAGTACAGAGGAAATAATCAATAAACGACTTAAATTTAAAAAAATAAATATAAAGTCTCATAAACCCTACTTTACCTACTTATACTAAATTATTAATGGTCAAATAAAATATAACTCTCATTTTATATCGTAACAAGTATTAAAAAAAAGTATTAATTATTCAATGATGTAGGACCATCAAAGCAATAAATATCTTTGTTTTTATATGTTAAAGGTAAAATAAGTTTCACTACGTACTACGCACATTAGTGGACAAACAATTAGGCGCCCATAGTTAGGTTTTGGAAAATATTAACTTTATCAGAAGTAGAGAAATCAAATTTTATTTCTTATTAACGAGTGGGATTGACCCTTCCACGGTGATCAACTTCGAGGAAAATTTTACAGCATGTACATACATTTTCTCTTTCTTTTTATTTTATGTTAATTAATTCTAATTATTATATTACAAATTATTAAGCGGATGGTTGTTAAAATAGTTTTTAAGTATACTTTAATTCTTTTATTGAAATATATTTTCTTTTCACTATAAATGTGATGAAAAATGATGATTTAATTATGCAAAAGAGAAGTATAACGATTAAGGAATATTATATGAAATAATAAATATCGAGTGATAATTAATTAGAAATATATTAAGAGAATTAAGTATAAAGATTAATTAATTAGGAAGATGTATGTAATGATTGAATTGAATAAAAAAAAACTATATTGCATAATTGAAGAAAAATACAATGAGTGAACTGTGAACAGTATACATATTTTCCACATGTTTGTTAGCAAAATGAAAATGACAAATTCATCAATTTGGTAAAATAGTTTCCTTTTT